GATAGATAGATAGATAGATAGATAGATAGATAGATAGATAGATAGATAGATAGATCACCCAGTGAACTATCACAAACTACAGTAAATCGCTAACTTTGAATTACCAAGTTTTATCTGCTGAGTACCTAGTTGGGAAAAATGTGACGTCAACATTTTGAGTTTTGACAACATGTCAAGCCTTTTCGAAAACAATTCTTTGAATATCTTGATAACGACTCCGAATATTCTTACGATTCTGATAGCGCAGATATAACATAGTATATGTCACGACGCAGAGGATTCAGGCGCTTGTCAATTTTTGTGCGTGTGAAGTTATTGATGTCATCTGAAAGCTGATTTATTTGCCTTGCTTCCAACGAAACAAATATCTATTTATCTTGAATAGAACTCAAGATATCTGCATTTGAAGAAAAAGAGGTCGCGCCAAAGTTAGGTAACTCCAATGGCTAATGAGTCTGTGAAAACTGAAAAAAATGACATATTTCGTGCCTTTAATCAATGTTTTTCAGTAAAATTCATATGGAAATGTGTTTTATGTGGATTAAAAGAGGTTAAGCCAAAAAATTGAAAATAGATAAAAATTTTCAAACTAGAGGGATTTGCTTGTTTCTCCGATTTAATTATTTTGACGAGCGCCTGATTTCACCGCGCTGCCTCACATTTGGTTTCTAACCCCATGGTATTAGTAACTCAAAACGGGCCAACAATGCCAGTTAGAACTTTATCATTCTAACGCAGTGGAATATAGAAATGATCTAGATCAACTACCTTTTGGCAGAGTTAACTCCAACTCGTCAGACTGCGATATCTCTGTCAGTCAGCGACTGGCGACGAAGGCTACCCTAGCCACAAGTCCGCTTGGAGAAACTTGTATCAAACTGGCAACTCCAGACACGGGGGCTGGTGTGTGCGTAGTTAATCCTTGCAGCGGGAGGGTTTTATAGCCACCATCTCCCACTGTGGAGACTCCCAGAGACAAAACGGAGGCTGGTATATTAATTAATTTCTGACGCTCCAGCGACGTTCTGAGCGGCAGTGGGAAATACGGCGTGTGTGTGTGTGTGTGTGTGTGTGTGTGTGTGTGTGTGTGTGTGTGTGTGTGTGCGTGCGTGGGTGTGTTTTTGTATTTTTTGTATGCTTGGGTGTGTGAGTGTGTATGTGAGTACGTGTTTGCGTGTATATGTATGCGCGCGTATGTGTGTGTGTGTATGTGTGTGTGTATCTGTGTTTCGGTGTGTGTTTGTGTGTTTGTGTGTGTGTGTGTGTGTGTGTGTGTGTGTGTGTGCGCGCGCGCGTGCGTGCGTGTGTGTGTATGTGTGTGTTTGTTAAAGGGAGGGAGGATACTTACTGATGTCCATAAAAAAGTAGGTACTCAAGTGTCCGTATTACGAAGTCAAGCAATGAAAAGTAGATTCACGGTCTGGAGTCTCCCCCTAATAACAACAACGACAACAAAACAAAAAACAACAAACAAACAAACAGCAAGACAGGACGGGTGGTAGGAGCCAGACTGGTATGCCCTGCTTCTTTTCCGTACCCTACGTCGTTCCTGTCTATCTATTTTACTCCCTCCCCCACCCACCCTCCGTACTAAATGACCATAATACTATTAACGAGGTTCAATTTGCTCAACCCTCCCCCAAACCCC